TCGGTAACAATTCCATATCCGACCGATCGATCATACGGAGCTACCCTGAATTCTCGACGATTTTGACTCGAGTTTCCAAAAACTCTGTCGTTTCGCCGGTATTCAGAGTAACGGCTGTATGAGCGATTCTCCCAAACTGGCTCGACTTTGCCCCTATGGGATCCATCGGTTGTCTGTCCAGATTGGGCATCTGGAGCACAGATGTTCGGTGGAGCACCATCGGAGTAGAAAGCCTGCGAGTTTGGTACCCAAATACCAAAACTCCCACTTCCGTCCTTATACAGACGAAAATTACCAGCCGATGTCGTGCGGGTTAGTTCAGTGCTAGTCCAGATGACTGGATCAGCGCCTGACCCTCGTATCAATTGTGCGGCTTGGAGTGGAGCTGTAGGGTCTGTGTTGTCGATGCCAAACACCTCGAGTGCCTTTGGAGCGCCTCGAGTGTCTGTAGACAATGGTTGTTGTTGGTTTGATGCTGACATGTTCAATGAAGAATAATGAAAGTATAAGACAAATAATATATACTGAATATATACTGAATATATACTAGAGTGCTTGATATGATGAAAGTTATATCAAAATGTATGTATGATAGGATAATGAATCAGCTGATACGATAATGTGAATAATATGTTTTAGAAGATAAATGTAGTCTCTTCTTAATATTTACAATTTTGTTTCTGTCTTACTTACTTGTCACAAGCGGTCACTCAGTCGGCTTCCAATCTTCGCAGAGCGCAGTTGGCATCTAGTTTTAATGTTTCTACTTCATTTATCGGTTCTTTCACATATGATCATATACTATGTACATTTAAAAATAATATCATTATAACACGATGTGAAGTCAATTCAATTAGAAATGAGCAAGTCCGACTCCCTTATTATCTTATAAATAAAATATGCTTGTAACAACCGCTTATTTTTGTTTAACAAATTTTTTCTTAAATTCTATCCAGTTCTGATTGAATTTTTTCTGTTAACTATCAGAACAATAACCTCAACAACCTTGTGACTATTGACAACAACCTCACTAGCATCTAATAATTATCGAATATCATTGTGTATTTTAGCATCAGAGCAGCTTTGGCTAGTTTTTTACCGCATGTACATCTTATCGTTATATAAGACGAACAGAGAGTTGATTAGAAAAAAAGCAAATAATAGTAAACTTTGACGATAGAAAGTGAAAATACTGAGTACAAAAGAAATGAAATTTGATTAATCTAAGAATAAGTTCAATATTTCAAGTACATACAAATGTTTAATATATTGGCCAATGATTATAATAATACATTAATTTATTTAATTAACTCCACTTTACTCGTCTCGCATTAAAAGAAGAGTACTGTTAAACATTATATCAATCATGTTTACTCGATTATTCAACGAAATCAACGTTCTCCATATGACGAGTTTTATTTTATCTGAATTGTTGCTGTTTTATTCTCAAAATACAAAAAAAAAGGAATAGAAAATAGAGAAGTAGAATTACAAAAAAGAATATTAATCTACATATGAGAAATTGAAGAGAAAAAGTACAAGTGATTACATTTTAAGAATAAAAAAATAAATTTTTTGTTTTTATTTACTAACACTATAAATACAAAATAGAAAATGAAAAAATTAATTTGATTTTATTGCACGAATAGGCAAACCATAGATCACAGGTGCCGCACCATTTAAACATTGTAATTTACATAACAGACGACCTTTTTTCAATGCATCACCTAATGAATCACCTTGTTTTAAACGTTCAATTAAATGGAATGTCATTGTATCAATATCACGATCAGTCACATCCCATAAACATCCAACAACACTTGCACTAGAAGAAATAAAATCAAAAAATCAATATTATCAAACAATTAACAAATACTTACGCTCCACATGTTAAATAAGCAAATGGCATTCCAAATGCTTCAAAATCGCCGAATGATTGTAGACGAGCACTTGAACAACCCATCAGTAGTACACACATACGACTAGAATTCTTTTGTACATCATCTACAGGGTAAAATTGGCTACCACTACCATGACCCATATATCTAACAGACAAAATCGTTTATTAGCATAAATTATATTTAAAATTTGATTCGATACTTACAATAAAATTTCTCTTGATTGAAATATATCTTTAATTTGTTGTTGATTTGGAAATGCTTCAATAATTCCATCCCATTTTTCAATAATAGTTGATTGTTGTTTAAATAATTGAAAACGTTTTTTTGTTCGAGGTAAATCATTACCAGGATCAACAATATAATACCCATTATTTAAATCCACTCGATGACATAACTGTCGTTCATTAAACATCAGAGTTAAATCAAAACTATGTTGTTGTTGTTGTTGTTGTTCAGATGGTGAAGTTTCATCATTTGTCAAATCAAAATTATAATATTTATACATGCCATCAAGTAAAATGATTGTCGGTAAACGATGACTAATGACTTTTTTATACAACGATGACATACAAGACAATTGTTCCCAAGGAAACGTATGTAGATGATTGTCTATAAATGAGATAAAATACAAAGACGAGAATAGTCTCATGCTCCAGTTTCGCAATAGATTTTGCGCAAGTTTATTGCATCTCAGAGAATGAATTGACTACCCTCAAGTGGACAAAAGTTTTTTGATGACTTCATCCATGATTTTTGGTCCCGAAAGTGCTGAGTATCGGTTGCCTCTGATTGGTTAGAAAAAAATAAACTAGTTTCTGGCTATTTTATTGTTGACTAGGCATTTTTTGTTCGAAAACTGACAAGATCTTAACTGGCACATGAAACTAATCATCTACACGCAACATGCATATGTTAGTGGGTTCAATTTTCACTCCTGGCATCCATCAATTTTTCTAATTTTCATAAATAATCAAGATTGGTCCATTTATTGACTAGTTCATTTTTATGACTAGTCATTTGTTTGGATATTCGTGAAAGAGAACTAGACGGCAACTGGAGTCATTTTCTGACATTCAAGGTTAGTTAGAACGGGAGTCAAAAACATTTTTATAACTAGTGCATTTAACCGGTTTTAGTTTGCATGGATCAAGTTTACCCGTCTGGAAACTTACCTAAAAATAGTAATAAATTTTGTGCATGTCCATCACTATTTTGCTGTTGTTGATATGTTCGTTGCTTTATTTTCAAAAATGTTTCAATTAATTTTGTTTTTTCAGATAAATACGTACATAAATGTTCATTTTTTAATAATTTTCGTAATTCTTCTTTAATATCAACTTCATTTTGTAAATAAAATGTTGTTTGATGTAAACAAAATTCAATGAAACGCTTGTTTATAACACTGTTTCCTTCACTACTTCCACCATCAGCTAAATATTTTGATAAAGCATCATCGATCATTTGCTTTTTACAATCAAATATTGTTGTTTCTGGTAATAGATACCATTGAACTGGACTTTGTAGATATATTTGATTCAAATCATCTAAAAATAAAAGACAAAATAGATAAAAAAGTATAAATATTCATGTAATGGTTTCATTAAATAAACATGATACCACAATAAAATCCGAACCTCTATATAAATCGGGCTTTTAATAGTCCGTCATCAATTTGTTACTATCCGTTGACATCTTTGAGACAAGAAGGAGGTGGCCTTATTACTCGATTTTCTTACAACAATTATTCTTATTTTAAAAGTCACTGATCGTAGTTTTACAACAACAAAAAAAAGTGTGATCAATCATATTATCATTAATGAGACATTTTTCTAAGTATTTGAAATATAATTAAATAATTTATTTACCTAATAGAAATTCAAATAAACGTTCAAAATATTTTCGTATTAGCCAATATCGTTTATGATCATTGATACCATGTAAAGTTTTTGTATTTGATTCAATAAGATAATGAAATTTTTTAATTAAAATTTTTGGAAATTCAAGACGAATAAGACATGGTTCATAATAATTTGAACGTATTTGTACAAGTAATAGACAATTTTTAATTAATGAAAAATAATGAAAACATAAACACACTTGTTTTGATGGTAACTCATTAATGAGTGAAAATTTTAAATAATCAATTGTTAATGGACGAAAATGAAATGCATCAATGTAATGTTGTAAATGATCACGAGAAATACTATCTACCGGCGTTGATGCACCAGATGTTGTTGTTGTTGCTTTATCATTGTCTTTGCTAAAATAGAAAAAAAATTGAAATGCTCATTTATACAATAATATCAAAAAGATTACTCGATCAAATTTGTTTCGATCTTTTACTTTACTACTAACTTTAGCATTTCAAGTACTGTTAGGTTTATTTTAATCTAAGATACTAACCGATTTTTTCTCTGATATATACACAATGCATTATAGCGAAATCCCATTGATTGCATACTGACAATCAGTGTTGCTACCATCCAAGGTTGTTGATCACCAAGCAACAATATTAAATATTCACATAAATATCGATACAATTTGGCTGAAGGTAAATACGATAAGGAGTTATACAACTGAAAACATTTTGATAGTAAATCTTTATATGCATCACTGTTCGGTTCGAGTAATGGTCGTGATGTTGATGGTTGTTGTTGTTGTTCTCGATCAACTTTAATTTGAGACGATTGCACGATAACATCCTCATCATCATCTTCATCATAAACGCCTTTTTTTAACGGTGTTATTTGTAAATTTTCCATTTCATCAAGTAATTCTGGTGGTAAATAATCAAGACGTTTTCGATTCAACGGTGAATTTTTTCTTAATGATGGAGTTGTTACTGATGGTATTTGTATAACATCTTTTTTTTTCGTAGCGATAGTTGTTGAAACAATTGTTTCACGTTGTTCGTATAAATGTTGAGTATGAATACGTCGTTCAGCAACAATTTTTGCCCGACGATTTGGTCTCGAAGCTGATAACTCGTCTCGTGGTGTGGTATTAATAAGATCAATAGGAACCAATTGTTTTTTCTTTCTCATACCGCTTGCACCTCGTATGGGTGTGACAATATCTAATGGAGGATCAATATTTTTCATAAACTCTTGAACAGAGCTAATGGGAGTTGTTGTCATTGTTTCTCCTCCACAGTCGTCCAAATTTACCTGAAAAATAAAATAGAAAAAGTACAAGATGAATTAATATGACAGGAACGAAGGAGGAAGAATGGTGTTAAATAATCGACAAATAAATTTGTAAATGACTGATACGTAAAACATATTTAGATTCTTACAGAATTCACAATATGTCGATCTTTCGAAGAGTACTTTGTTCATCCACAGGAAATATAATAACCATTTGGCTAGAGAAAAATGACTGTACATATATAGAGGGTTAATCTTCGTTGTAGGTATAGAGAATAAATTATTTAAGGGAGGGAATATTCGCGAATAAAGATGTGCGTAGAACTATATTACTACCCGAAAAACTTGCCTTTTGTAAAAGCATACAGAGTCGTTTACTCGAAGATCCTTAGTTTATATTTGACTTCAATGAGTGATTTTCTGTAACTGGTGTGTGTAAATAGATTCTCCTTGATTACTCGTTTACGCCAATCCGTTTCTAATCCAAGTGTGTCAACATTGTCGAAATCCAGTTCATATTGATCTCTATTAGCATGTTGAGCTGCTAACAATGACTGTTTCCAATTATGAATATCAGCTTGATGTTCCTTCATGCGTATGTTAGGATTTCTACCTGTTTCGCCATAGTAATGCTTGTCGCAATTTTTACACAGGAATACGGTACATCATCTTTTTATTTCTTTTGTCGTTATCCTGACCCTTTTGTAACGGAAGAAAAACACTTTCTAACGTGAATGTCTTCGGGATGCAATATTCACTTGAATGAAAGATAGTAGATTTTTATATATTTTCTTAATTCTTTCAGCAAATATAGTTGATTTTTGTCCATAGTATGAGCAAACGAGAAAGATTAGCTTTTTCGATGACTGTTGACTAGTTTTATTCTTGTTGCTATAGAAATTGTTTTTGTAATATTTTTTTCGTCAAGAAATCACCTTCACGAATTCTTCTCCGAATGTTATGAGAAGGATATCCATTCACCTGTATCTTTGTTCATAATTTATTCTCTATATCTACGACGAAGATTAACCCTGTATATATGTACAGTCATTTTTCTCTAGTCAAATTGTTATTATTTTTTCTGAGAATAAACAGAGTACTCTTCGAAAGATCGGCATATTGTGAATTCTGTAAGAATCTAAATATGTTTTACATATCAATCATTTACGAATTTATTTGTTAATATGCCAGATTTACTCACTGTTTTTTTTCTTCCAATTGATCGTACGCCTTTCGCTGAAAATAATGTTGATTTTTTAGCTGATGACAATATTGGTGTTGTTGTACCATCATCTTTCTCATTTAATTTGGCTGATGCTAATTTCAATGGCGTTGCTGGACTTGGTACCGTATTTTTTCCACGTGGTGTATCGATTTGTTTTTTATTTTTACTAGTAATAATGACTTTTTTCTGTGGTGTACTCGTCTCATTATTGACAAATGTTTCTAGTGCTTCCGTGGATAACTGTTCAAAATTAATCGGACTCGAATGAAATATATTTGGTGGTGATAAAGGATTATTCAATAATTTTGGATCAATTGACGTTGATGTTTTTGTTTGTCTAGAACGATCAAACATAAATAATATTTGTGTAACGAGCTATTACAAAATTTATTATACTCACGTTATTGTTCCATTTTCTGTCCATTGACTTAAACATTTGATTTTTGCTTTATTCTTTGGTTCATAACATTCACTGAGCCACATTAGTTTTGAAATAACTTCAGGTGGATATTGTTCAACTATTGATAACCATGTTAACCATGCTTGAATCCAATATTCAAATTCAACATAGAGTGAAGAAGCATCTGTTTCCCACATGATTTTATCATTATCCACTAATATTGTGGATGTTAATCGATTAATTTGAAAATAAGTTAAACGATATAAAACATGTAAACGTTTGTATATCAATCGATGATATGAATGTGAAAGTAAATCCTGTTGATCTTCATACATCATATACATAGATCGTAATTTTTTTTGTGTTTCCATATAATTTTCTGTATGATAAACATATTCACATTTAACATAGTCAAACCATTTATATAATAATTGAACAAATAAATCATCATTATAATCAAATGTTTTTAAATGAGATTCAATTTGATCAAATTTACGTTGACAACATTCACTTTGATGAGATAAGATGAAAAAATATGAATTTAATATAAGAAATAATGTAAACCTAAAAATATATGATAGAGTTGAGAGAAAAGAATTTTATTTTATAAATATATAAAGAGCAAGATAAATAAAAAGCATTAACAAGCATCAAGCATACGCTCTATAAAAGATGTATATATATGTATATATATAAGTAAAAGAAGAAGCACGCACCACAGACACGACGCATACAACAATCATGTTCATTTTCACTTACATAATTAGTGTTCAGCTAGAAAAATCAATGCTTATCAGATAATTGAACAAGAAAACTATGATATTCTCTAGCATAATCACACTTAAGAAGTATTGAATTTACGCTCTGGAATTGTTATTCACTGGAGATAAGATGTAAATAATCGATTCTTTATATGAATTTTTATCTAATATAAGAATTAAGTGCCCAACTGAGTTTCGTCGAATGATCTATATCATATAACGATTGAAGCAAAACAAGCAGACAATAGTCTCACTCTACTATTAGATGTTCCCCTAGCAATTAGTAAATAACGGGTGGTTCAGATTAAAAGGCCGGTCTTTTAAAGACTTTTTTCCTTAAGTTACGGTTGATGAAAAAATTTCGTTTTTTGATGCCAAAAGATAGAGAATTTTGTCCAGATTTCATTCATATCCTCTTTTAAAATTAAGCATCCATTACCAAAATGGTGCAATCCATAGAGAGAAACACATTTTGCAGAGCTTGAAATTCTGTATCTTTTGATATTAAAACGATCATTTTTATCGGTCAAGAGTTTGAGAAAAACTCCAAATAACTTACCATTCCATTGGACAAGTATGTCTTTCTGCTGTTTTGCATTTTACAAAATAGAAATAAATAAGAGTATGAGAAAGAATATACTACTGGATACAACAAGAATTTCTAGCGTCTTTCATAACTAAAAGTATGTTTTGAAACTGGGCTTAACTGCACAAAAAACTAATTTTCAAACGTTTCTGATTACGCACTTGAGTAACGAGGGGACCTCGCGACTTGTTAAATCGCTTTTTCAGCCAAATCTAGTAGGTTACAGGTAATCAACTATACTGAATCCGAATATCATAGTGGTAGATACCCAGGGACCTTCAGAGAGCAATTTTTTGGAAAACCAGTTTTTCAGAAACTCTAAAAAGTAACCAAAACCTTTCTTAATGAAGCATGATTGTAGCCCGCACATTTCTGATTAAAATGAGACGTCTCCCAGCTCTACACTATCTTTCTTTGCAAAGTTATAGAATTTACAAGAAAATCCCTAAATGTTCATTATCAGCTCAAAGCTACGAGACGTCTCATTTTAATCAGAAATGTGCGGGCTACGATCATGCTTCATTAAGAAAAGTTTTGGTTACGTTTTAGAGTTTCTGAAAAACTGGTTTTCCAAAAAATCGCTCTATGAAGGTCCCTGGGCATCTACCACTATGATATTCGGATTCAGTATAGTTGATTACCTATAACCTACGAGATTTGGCTGAAAAAGCAATTTAACAGATCACGAGGTCCCCTCATAAGCTTTTTTTGTGGCTTTCAGCATTTTTACTATTAAACGATGCATGCTTAATTTCAAAGCAGGATATGAATGAAATCTGGACAAAATTCTCTATCTTTTGGCATCAAAAAACGGAATTTTTTCATCAACCGTAACTTAAGGAAAAAAGTCTTTAAAAGACCGGCCTTTTAATCTGGACTACTCGTTATCGTGATTTTTTCTCTATTTACTAATACATTTGATCGTTTCGTCTAAATAAATTTAATCTTACCATCGTTTCGAATGTAAATAAAGTGATATTTCAAGTCCAACAAGTATATAATTTTTTGAATTACGATAAAGACCAATTTCAAAGTTTAATAATATTAAATAAAGTACTTGTGAGAGATATGTTTGTAATGTATGAATAATGGCTGGTGAAAATGTAAATTCTAGATAATAAAAAAACAAAATACAAAATACATAAGTATACACTAACAGTTAGTTTGATTATGAAAGAAGTACAAACATACGTTTCATTTCTGATATTCTGTTTATATCCATTATGTCTAATGATGTTCGTAAATCTTGAGCACAATATGAACGACTATCTTCAATTAATGATAAAAATTCATCTTTCATAGAGCAATCGTAGACATCTAGAATAAATTCAATAATAACAATTAGAATTTAGTAAGAGATACGAGACTATTTATTATTACCCGTATTCAGTAATAATTTTGATTTTAAATTATAGATTTGTGATCGAACAAAATAACTGTCAGTATACGGACATTGAACAATTGGACGTTTTTCTAATTCGGATAATGTTTTTGAACATAGATCAAACTAAATGAATAAACAATTATTTCTTAAAAGTAAAAGTTTTGCAAATATGATGTATAACCATGTTTAATTAAAGTATTTATCATCACCAATCAAGGTGAAATCATATCGAAATTTCATGACGTCAAGATCATATCATTTCCAATATCACACACGCGACCACATACGAACTTTTTATAATTTTATTAGCGATCATGCGTGAAAATATTTACGAGCATATGAATGTATAAAATTTACGCATGTTCACTTCACAATTTATAACTTTTATTTGTGGTCACAAGGAAAAAATATTCATAAGAAATTTTTTTTTTCATGCACAATTTCTCACTATTCATGGGTGTACACGTAGTATTATCTATTAAAACATTCCCAACCACATATACCAACCTGTCTCATAATTAAATAACGTTCGGCTGTTGATAACAACATTTGAGCTTCATCAATATCGTATTGCGATATGGATGCTACCGCTTTTACATACGATGATTTTTTAATATGAATTGGAATATAATTTAACAATTGACCTGATTTTAATATCAAACGATTATATGATACTAATAGAAGAACTTTATCTGGATGTCCATCGGAAAGTTGTTCAATGAGATAAAGATAAATTTCGCCGGCTTCTTTACACTAGTAATGTAGAGAGTAAAAAAATATTAATTTTAGAATGAACATACAGACATGTGTACTCACATGTTGAAATAAATCAAAAAATGAACCACAAACATGTAAATTCAAATAAAACAATTCTGTTTCAATTGGATATCGTAATGAATATGTTTTAAATTGTTCAATAATCAATGGACTTGCAAATTGTTGTTTAACCATTTGCCAACATTTTAATAAATATTTTATAAACAATTTTTCAGATAATTCTTCCAAAACTAAAAATAAAAGAAACTTATAATTAAATTAAATGCAATAACAACATTTTTTTATCCAACATTATCAGTTTAAACAGCCTCGAGAGTGATTCTTGTCTTCACTCTTGACATTTACAGAATTTATACAAAGCAAAAGAAAAAGTCGTATAAAATACAAAAAACTTGATTAATAGAACATCAGACTACATGATAGTAAGTCACGAATACTTACTTTTATGAGATGGCATCGTCATCGATTCAGTATGAAACGTTTCAATTTGATTTATATTCGATTCTGCTGCTTTCTTCTTTTCTTCGTGATCATTTCGGATACAGTCACTCATCTAAATATCATATACAACTACTATTTATTTCAAAACAGAATAATTTTTTTATAATAAAAGACTATAATCTGTCATTTTCACTAATCGATAGAGAAGAGGATAGAGTGTAGACTGTTTTCACTTAAGATTAAAACATTCATAACTCACTTAAAATATAATATTATAATGACTTGAAAACTTCGAAAAATTCTATATCCTTTTTGATACTAAATCTAAGGAGACATTTTTCAGATGATTACAATGTATTTTTTAATTGAGTTATGAATTTCTCAATCTTAGATGAAAACAGGCCTAAAAACCCGCCGGGAATTAAATTTTTGAACTTTATTTTAAAAGCAAAATTATTATCAGATTTAGTACAAGTAATTACCTATGCTCCATGTGACTTTAAGGTTACTACAAGTCACTTTGTATCAGTTCTGCAGCTTGAAAGAATCTTGCCACTGAAAGTCAAAATCTACAGAGAACATTCTTGAATCGATTAGAGAAAATCGCAAATATTAATCTCGTCATTATTAAAAAGTTAATTAAAAAATTCCTTCAGTTTATTCTATTTTGAAATAGGATAAGATTTGTAATTGATTGAGTTGTTTACCTTCGATGTTAACATTCCATAGTAGACTTGAAATTTTAACAAATAATAATCTAATAACAAAAACATTCGAGCTATCGAATGTTCTGATGACAATGATGAACATTTTCGTAGATGCATCGATAAAGTATTTAATTGTAATTCAATACTAAATAAAAAATAAAAATTTAATATAACTCATTCTTTTTATTTTATTTGTATCATCTGCTACTTCTTTTTATTTTTTTTATATACTTTTCTGTTTGTTTTTCTTTCGTTATTTCCAACTTAATTTTTTCAATTAATATTCGTGAACATAAAAGATGATTTGTTCCATCATAAAAATTTTCATACAACTGATTTATTATTCTCTGTTTATCATGAAAAAATTGATAAGATTTTAAACTAAAAATAGAACAATGACGATTTAAATGATTTATTCTGACAATAATAAGTCCATACTTTGCATTTCTATATTCATATAATTCATATAATAATAAATCTTTTACTTCTATACTTGTTTGTAATGATGATGGGATATAATCATATAATGATCTAAAATTGATATATATCGTTAAATGAAAAGTTATCTCTAATCATCTTCATTAAGCCTACTTATTTTTCAGTGATATTTCGTACAAATCTGGTTTTTTTCGTTGTAAATCACGTTTCAATTTTAACCATTGTAAAATAATTGTTCTTAAATCATTAATATTTCGATATAAACAAAATAGTTTAATAATTAATTCTCGAATATACATTTCAGTTTCATCTATAAAATCGCTTGTACGATAACATTGAATTACTTGTTCTAACATTTCCGTTAGTAATGCCTAGAGAAGAAGAAGAAATAAACTATCGAGAAAAAATAAAATGATTTATACATACAATAGCATTTTCTTCATATGTTTCTGGATATTCTTGCATATGATAGATTAATTGTGAAATGGCAGTTTTATGAATATCCATACCCAAAGTAATCTCTTTTGAATATAATAATGAAAATCCATACGAACATATACACTGAACTAAAAATAAAATAGACTCGTTATTCGCATTAAATCAAAATAAAAAATTTAAATTGTCAAATTTCACTTAGAACAATAGCAAAACGTATCGCTACTTTTAAAATGATGAACCTTAAAATGTCTAGAAGTTTAATACGACATACGAAGGATTGGGTATATGACAATATTCAGAGGTCTCTATGTAAACTTACTGAAATAATATCCACTTGTTATCCATGTCATTTGTTTTTGATCAATTGATTCATAAATTTTAAAATAAAAACAAATGTAACTTTGAATATCAGAAAAAAATTGACTTTGAGCTGAAAAAGGAGAATATTTTGTTAAAAATGACAAAAGAATAAAAAAGTTCGATTACCTTTGAATAAATTAAGATTTTTTGCAACAAACTTCAACATTTGTAAAAAAAATTCGTTAAAACATCTCATGTCATATTGAATTGGACGACTGTTATCATAATTCGCTGTACGAGACAACAAATACTAAACATAAAGTTATAAATCTTCACATTTATCATAGAGATCCAATTCCATTAACACTCAAGCTGAGCAGACATATTAATCGTAATAAATGTGACCATTACACAGTGGGCATTTGTCTATACACCAGGTGGACATGTGATTTTTTTAATTCAGAAAGAGACTTTTTACTCAATACTACTTTATTACCTTTCAAATGTTATTATTAGACGAAAAATACCTGAGGGGAACCCTTACCCTAAATAAAAAAATGTTTCCTCAAAAATGGTTCTTAGAAATATCAGTCGCCGCAGTTTTGCGCGCGGAATCCGAATATATATAAATATTCGAGTAAAGTAACATATAACAGTAGAAAAGTCCAAATTATCTCAAAAACAAAGAGTTTTTAGAAAACCTGTAACTATCGGCAGAAAAAGTTGTGCGATTTTGTGAGTATAGTATAGTACAGATACAGGATATATTAAGGAACATTTTGGTGAAAAAATAAGTAAGATTGCATCTCCGCTAACTCACGCGTTTTGATTACTATACGCGTCTGTTTTCCTTATATCACCGTGTTTTCTCTCTCGAATAATTTCATAAGGAAAAATCATAGGTTAAAAATTTTTACGCTACTCGATAGTACATTTAACGCAGTATATTTGATACTATTTAAATCACAGAAAAGCTCACTTTCGATTTTCTACCGCCTATTAAATGTCCGCCTATATGCCCACTGTGCATTATACTGAAAGAAGCTAATATTCCTCAGTTAAAAGGATGATACTCCTCTAACTATCCTTCACTAACATTGTATTAAATGTTAAGGTAGTCCTGCTTGCTTCATATTTTGAATGTTAGGATTGTCACGAGAGAGTCTCTCATGCTAAAAAGTTACCTTATACAATTTCATTTGTAAATGAACTAATTGAATGAACGTGTGTATATTTTCTCTAATAATGAGTCGATGTTGTTCAAATAATAATCCATTTATTTGAAAATCTAAATCGTACAAGAAAAAATTTTGTACAATTGTAAACAAAGTAGCAATACACCAATCATTTGTCCATTGTTCATCTTTATTTTCATAATTTTTAAACCACAAGAGCCCGCCTTCCACTGACAACTTAAGTTCATTTAACCATTTTAATAAGTGTTGGCATAGTTTATGGAGAGATTCAACCAGATTTTGTTTACTGAGCGTTGATAAATGTTGTTTTAAATGATGATGATTTATGACGTTTGTCGATTGTTTATCCTTAATAGCAAGAAATGTTAGATCTGTCAAACATCGTTTTAATTCGTATAATAAATTTATTATAGATGAATCGTTGGAGCTAATTGTAGGAAAATCTTTTGATTTATTTACGTTTGTGCATTGTAGACATTTTTGTAATTCCCTATCATTAAGAAAACTTGTACATTGTTGTAAATGTTCTGGTATTAGATATGATATCGAATAGAACATGTTACAATTTTGTTGTTGTTGCCGATGCGGACCACCCATAAAAGACAGGATGAGAATGAAACAAGAATATTGAACGGAGAGTTTAGGTGATAATACGGCAGACTGAGATACGAGTTCATCTAGTAGCTGTGAATGAATCAATAACATGACAGTTTTTTGTTCCAATGATAGATTTTGAAATGAATAAATAATATTTGTTAAACGTGTTAAAAATATGTAAGGATATAAACGAGAGTAAAGAGCACTTTTGATGAATATCACGTAGTACTTTAACCATAATACATAATTGGATGAAGATTTTAGCTAAATAGAAATAAAAAATACATTATAAAAATAATATATTCAACTTCTAATAGTTAATCTTATCCGACTGTTTTTGACTACTACATGCAATTGTCATTATATTATTTGCCCTTACTAAATAACATGCATTGTACGCGAGAATATTGAGTCTTTCCATTATGGGATTTTGAAATACTTTAACATCGCAGTTGTCTATAAGTTTTTGAAATGATGAATAATTTTGAGCGAGTAATTTCTAGAAGTAAAAAAAGATAATAGTATCAACTAATTTTTAGTGTTAAAAAAAGACTTACAATATCACCATTTGCTTTGGTTAATACACTAAGAATGTTTGAATCACTGTTCGGAGAAGGCATGTTTCTGTCTAAAATAAAAAGAAGAACCACATTATTTAAAATGAAAAATTGAGTGTTGAAACTGTTAACCAATAGCCCCTCACAACGAGCGTTTCTTGAGAAAAAATGAGAAAAAACTTTTACTAAAGAAAATACTTTGAAAATTTCTATACAAATAGTCATTCTTAACAATTGCTGTTCTAAACCTTTTCTGTTGTCAGAACACTTTGACCGTAACTGTTCGCTGTATTGAACGAAACAAAATATTAATAAATAAAAAAATATGATGATGACGACGGTGTGATTAGAAAAACTTTTGAAGTATTAAAACTAAACCTAATATTAGTCTTTCCTTTCGATCCGCCTTGACCTAAGATACGCCTTAATCTGTTTCACAAACGTGACTTAACTTAGTCTTAGCCTTAACATCGAACCTAATTAATCTAGACATATAATGCATTTCAAAGATCCTTTCTCGTCTAGTCGTCAAAGATGGTCACAGGTATAAAATGTGGGAAGAAGAAAACAGTGAAAAACTATTAAAACATTATGTCTTGCTTAAAGCTTCTCTTCATTCACCTTCACTGAATTATGCTTAAAAAAATAAGTTTATTCTATTGAAAAATATTGAATTAAGCTCGGATGTTCCATTCTTCGCCATTTTTGGAATTGAAGATTAACCTCTTCAACATTTACTTCTAGTGGTTAACTGATCGTTACTAAGAAACAAGACATATGATCACACTATTCCGAAAAATCATCTTAAAAGCATGGCAATCTCTAGGGGAAAAGTTAGTGTCATATTTTCACTGGGCTGATACTACGCTTCTACAGTGGAGAGCTGTTTCCTGCTCGCTCTCCAACGGTCAACTTTTCCAGCGAAAAATGGTCGCCGTCAAATTTTACAAAAAAGATCGAAAAATAATTGTGATTCGTTACAACTTTCGAGGAATGGCAACGTGATAGATGTCGCTGTTTGAAACCTTTTTGTGGCTAACCTTAAGCAAAAGGTTACTGTTTATCAACCAGTTCGCTAAATTTTATAAGAAAAACATCTTGTTTTTGTAAAAGGATCAAAATCAACTTTTATAATAACCGCGTCTTTTCACACTATCATAGGTTATTCATTTTGCAGATTTTAAAAATGATAGTTAGCCTTTCGAAATTCTTTGGACTTTTGTACGGTTACCGGTAAGCATACTAGTCAGCATATACATGCATAGAGCATAGGTTGTTTCCCTCTAGCCGTCAAAGATAGTCGTCAAGAGTCACTTTCTACCCCTTTTCACGTAGAAAGTGGCTCCGGAGGGCTATCTTAGACGACTAGCAGGAAACAACTTGGATCACAAAAGACATTGTTCAGGAGAACCAAATGTGGTCACTATCGGAAAGTTGTCGATCATATTTCGATCATTTATTGAAAACAAAGGATCTTATAACAATTATAGTTCGATTGCAAAAAAGTGTCCTATGCTGCTGGTACCCAGCCGTTAATCGTATTTTTATTCAAGGTGAAGCATTCTATCGTCATCAATAACATATACTCGTTTCAAAAGACATAATTAACAAAGTTTCTACGCGTTTCTAGAGATCCGAGAGAAGAACAGATGCCGAACGACATCCCTCAACATATGCCGTTCTTCAGTGGTCGATTAATCTTTGATGACTCATCGAATTGTCTTTAAAAACTCCAATGATTGAATGGAAAAGTAAACGAGGCAAGTAGCATAGGACCAAAACTAAAAATTAAACCTAATCAAAGCACAACAGTAGCACATTCCTCAATTTTCATTTATATAATCATTTGCATCTTTCATTGAATCAGAGGAAGATAAACGGCGAAAAAGATAAAATTGATAGAATCCTTTACAGCTCGGTGGCGCTTAGTCTTATCTTATCTTGATTAGTTTTAGCGAACAGTTTGATAAAATAATCAATACTAGTTGTATATGTACAGCTAAATACTATATATATAATACCTGGGTGTTGTTCCTCCAGGAAGCGGTTACAATTTTTGAAGGAGCCTTGGATTTCTATCCATGAAATCATGTTTGTTGTTTACTACAGTCGAATTTTGTTGCTGCGGAATTCTCGTTGATATTTGATCAAATCATTTTTGAAGTAGTATTGTTGCTAACCGCATTATTCTCTCGATTAGTTCGCAATTTTTTGACTGATGAACTCACAGAATCACAGATACTACTATGTTTTCATTTACAATATGAGAATAAGGTATTTTTCTCTGATGATATAGACGAAGTTCGTTTATAAATAAAAATATTTTTAGATTTTATTAGTATTTTTTAACTAGTAACAAGTCTAACTTTTTGTGTTCAAGCATAGATCGTGAGAAAAGGTGAACTATCGTACGTTTGTCTTTTCTTTATCGCACACATGCGGATACTGCCAAGAAAAGATGCGTCCATTTATTATACATGCATGCTACGTGGATGAAAGAATTTAAATTCTTGTTCTTCATTGGACATGGTTTATTTCTCCAATATGAGTTCAGTTCCAAATTATAGTCTAGATTTCTCCCTGACAGTTACAAGTTGTACTTTGCACAGATTTGAACAGTTTTAAAATAATGAGCTCTTTCTGCTTTAGATTAGCAATATCTAAATTAGTTGAAGAAGAATGGCTCGTCGTTATGATACTCGTGCGACAATATTTTCGCCTGAAGGTCGTTTATATCAAGTGGAATATGCTTTAGAAGCTATCTCACATGCTGGTGCTTCATTGGGGATTCTCGCTGAAAATGGTGTTGTTTTATGCGGTGAGAAACGAAATATAAGTCCATTATTAGATGACGTAAAATATTCAGAAAAAATTTATAAGATACATGAAGATTTATGTTGCAGTGTTAGTGGTATAACCAGTGATGCTAATATTTTAATCAATGAATTACGAATGATTGGACAAAGGTGAGCAATACATTTTTAAAAAATCAGTTTTTTACAGTAATGAATCTGTATTTTTTTCATTCGATAATTTGAAATAGATTTTTCCATCTTCTCATTTTAGATATTTATTAACATATCAAGAACCGGCTCCCATTGAATATATTGTATCGCGTTTGTGTAATATAAAACAAGCGTATACACAATTTGGTGGTAAACGTCCATTTGGTGTCTCATTTTTGTATATGGGCTGGGATAAACATTATGGTTATCAATTATATCAGTCGGATCCAAGTGGCAATTATGGCGGCTGGAAAGCAACGTGTGTTGGTCATAATTCACAAACAGCTATATCAATATTAAAACAAGAATATAAAATTGGTGAAACAACATTACAAGATGCTTTACGTTTAGCTGTGCGAGTGTTTAGTAAAACATTAGATACAACAAAATTAACAGCAGAAAAGATTGAAATTGCTGTACTAGGTAAGCACAATCGGAGACATAATGAGAGAGAAAACAATACTTGAAATTGTAGAAAATTGAACGTTGCACGAAGAGAATGACATTGATCCAAGTAGCACGGATAAGTTTTGTGTTAATCTTTATCTTTTCTCTGTTGTTGTTTAGAACATGATGATAAAACGAATAAAACAACAATTCGAATGTTAAGTGAACAAGAATTACAACAACTGATTAAACAATATGAAGAGGAACAAAACAAATTAGAAACAGAAAGACAAAAGCAACAACAAGGACAAGGTAGTCATCAGCAAACAACTACAAGTGGTGCTAGTGGAACAATATCAAAAGATAAAAAATAAGTTGAATCATATTATTAGGACAAATCGACCGAGTTTTAATCTAGGGAAAAAAAACTTTATATCCTTTTTATTTCTTGTTTTTTTTTACTTATTGTTGTTTCTTTTTGTTTTGAACAAAATAAAATATATTCCATTTAATGGTGATGTATATTTAAGAAGCTTTTCAGCTGGATACAAGAATCAAAGATTTGTATTTTCCCAGAAGTACTATCTTGTTTTCTCTCTGCTATTGAGCAGCTGATCGTGTTAACATTGTGGATTTTGTCAAGAGAAAAATGTCATATTTCACATTATTATTAATAGAAAACACAAATTTATGTTATCGTCAAGAAAAAAAATTAAGATAGTCTTTATTCTCTTGGATGTGGTTGAGAGTCTTGAGTTTGAATGACTTACATGCATTTATAATTCAACGAATTATTGCTTATGCACTGCTTACGATAAGACAACGTAACAACCGAAAAAAAAACTTTTCTGAAAAACTGCAAATCAGTTTGGGTGACTAGACGACATAAACGTGGCCTACTTGCCTACATAATATGTATATGTGTGTAACATTCAAGATGTAAAGTCATTCTTTTTCTTCATAGCAAAAAGAAATTATTTCGTGGGGTAAACGTAAAAGAATATTCGTTTTGAAGAAAAATTAACGTTCTATAAGAAAAATTGAACAGGTGCAAGATTCTCTCTTATTTAGGCTTGGTGATTATGTGTTTTATAGTCAAAATTCCATTCTTTTGGCAAACCTTAACCGTTCAAATATTCTTAGACAGTGCGAGTCGAATAAGAGAATTGACATGTTATATAATACCGTCATCAAGGAAGTATATCACTTCATTTGACAATCTATGTACTTCGTTATTTTAGCATATACATTTCTCCAGTTGGAACTAATGGCAATATCTCATCACACAAGTTCGAGTGTTTCTCTGTCTATTTCCATTTTTTTGTTAAATACATGAAGCTGGACATTTACTGGAAAACTAGTATAACTAGATGGAGAATAAAGACAGTTTATGCACTCAATTATTGCGAGATCTAAAGTGAGATCTAAAACGATTCGAGAAAAAACGCGTTTAAACGCTGTTGGAGGAAAATGCATTGATCTTTGTTTAACTTTTGGTTGTGCTTAGTTTACCACACGTTTTTGATTAACGCTGTGAATGTGAACAAGGCACAGACTAGTTCTTCTCGTTTTTTCTCGTCTGTTATGTAACTAGTTCAGAAACGTTTTTTTTGAAATGCGTCGAAACTAAAAAAATGAGATATGATGTTTCTCTTCGCTTTCTCTATAAACGCGTAGAAAAAAGTTCTCTCGTCTTATGGTTTCAGTGTGTTGAGAAAGAAACTGAAAGCAAGGCGTTTTTATAGTTTCTTGTTTCAACGCGCCTACGAAAAACCGCATTAAAGCGCGTTGTTTTATTTTCTCATTTCGGTAAGATAAGTCACGTAGAAAATTTGCAATGGGTACTATAATTGTATAACAATTACTATCAGAATACGTAAAAAACATATTGTCAATAATTCGAGAAAAAAATGCGACTTGGGTCAAAGACGCAGCATTCTTTTAGAGATGAGACATTAAAAAAAAGTTACCCTTTCGCCAGATTCACTATGAAAACCTGAAATCTACTACACTTTCTACCGTGACTTCGAAATTTCCAATGCTTGCAACTGTAAATCTGATTGTGAAGTGGATTTTGATTGAATTGCAAATTTGAACTGTAGAATTGCCATAGTGATATGGATTCCACAGTGAAAAAGTTTTATTTTAGACTTTCATCTAATCATCTATATAGATTGGGATCGATATAGAACTAACTCATCGATGCTTCCACTAGGTTTTTCTTTCTCCTTTGGAAAATATTTCTAGAACAGGAAATACCTTTCCTTTGCTTAACCGTAACGATATTATTTAGACATTATGTAGAGATAGCTTAATACATCAATTCTTGCTTCGCAAAGCATGAATATTCGGTTGAATTCTGTTTGGCTCTTAGTGCATTTTATGTAGAACACAATCCTCCAAAAGAATGTCTGGAATTAGCAATGTGCACCTTGCGCTAAGATTAATAATCTGTTCCACTGCACTCTCAATTCCATAAAAAAACGTTATGTAACACTGTTTTCTCGAACAGTGTTTACTAAGTTTTTATAGGGTGAGTCTATTGACACCACCACGAGGTGTCAACAAGGGCTACTGACACCACCGAAGGGTGTCAGCAAGAGCTATTGACACCTACTGGAGGTATCAGCAAGGGCTATTATTGACACCTACTGGAGGTGTCAGCAAAGGCTATTGACACCTAGTGGAGGTGTCAACAGTGGCTGTTGACACCACCAAAGGGTGTCAGCTATTTGGAGGTGTCAATAGCCCTTGCTGACACCTTCAGTAGGTGTCAATAGCCCTTCGCGACACCTCTGATGGTGGTGTCAATAGCCACTGTTGACACCTCCAGTAGGTGTCAATAGCCCTTGCTGACACCTCTTAGTGGTGTCAATAGCCATTCCGATTTTTATATGTATAATTACCCTAGTGAAACTTCTTGAATCAAGATCTTAGTAAGAAAGCGAAAGAAGTTAAAGAAATTTCAAGAGTCTAAGATCTTGAACTTCTTGTAGTCTCATCGTATTATTATAGTAATCCTATCGACAAATATTACGTTACAAGACGTTGAATATCGTACTCAAATGAAATGTAAACGTAGAAAAACGTTGATGCTAGAAAGAATGATGAGACGAAGTAATGCGGTTTTCAACATTCGAACGCCGTCATCTGAGAGTATCTTTCTATAAGCAGAAATGTTTTGAAAACAATTTCAATAAACGGCTTTTGAAGAGAAATTTTAACATAGCAATATATTAGTCTTTTTACATAGATAGCTATTGTTTGAAACATTTGTTTCACCCTCTTATTTAGACCCATGATACTAAAACATTTGTTTATATAGATATGTCTGATTTGAATATTGATCTGTGAACAAAGAGAATCACACTATTTACCGTCTACACACGTAACACTTTAACCTAGGCAACACTTTTTTCTTTTATATCTAACTAGATTTTTCACGTCTATATATTAGAAGTCGTTTGAAATTGTTTAGGCGTTGGTGTTTTCAAGCCCGAACCTAATACTTATTGTACAATATTTATTAATTTTCTGTTTTTTTAGATCAATAGCTGCTAACAAGTCCACTTCGCATGTTCTTAAACACAAATACTTTTAACTATACTCGTTATTGTATTGCATAAAGAAAGAGCAATAAAGAACAAAAATGATCAAATACAATCAGTAATATTTATCTACTCCGGTTTTGATAAGGTAAACCTGTTACTTTGTCACTGAAAAATATAAATTCTAATAGTTTTGAGTTTAACATGCATGTATATATTAGCATTCATCATACTAAGTTTTAGGATCTTATAATGTATTACGTATGTTTATTCGTTTTGGGTCATATGATTAGTTGTGTAGCTGCAGGTAGACAACGAATTTTATAATTTAAAGCTAGTTTATTAATCTAATTCTTTTTAGCCAAAACTAAAGTCGAATTATCCTATCCAGTTGCAACAATCTCAATTACTGCTAATAACTAGGTATCTTTTCTAGATGGAAAGAACGACTAATATAAAAAAAACCTATTTAGAAATAAAACTCTTGTTAACCAAGAAAAAACAATAATTATACCATGCTCAGAAATAAAAAGAAAAGCAAATATAACAGCACCATATTCAATATTAAAACCAGAAACTAGCTCACTCTCACTTTCACCGAAATCCAACGGACTTCGATTAGTCTCAACTAAAATAACCATCAATCAAATCACAAAAACATCAAACAAATAAAAACTATTAAAATTAATATTCACCCAAGACCAAGAATTATTGTAAACGACATTTTGAATGAAAATTTTGAAAATGAATGAATAAGAGCAAGAAGATTATTTAAATGTGAATATAAATGAACTTACAAAATATTTCTGTTTGTTGAATAACCTTACGGTATCATATTTTCTGATTTTGCAACTCATATCAATAAGACTTTTACAGCGTGAAATAAACATTTCAAGTTTCTATTTTAGCAACTGGCTACATTTCAATTCTAGATTACTGAAGTAGTCTGCCAAAATAAGAGGCCTCCTGTATTTCAATAGCCATAATAGCCAATAAGTTGGAATCTTGATTTAACATAAGCCTCACTATATGCTGCTCATTTAACAAGTGACAACTCTTTTGGACGTATAATTTATATAATTTATTATCGCAGCTCATAAGCTAAGAATCAGATACACATAGTTTCGGAGCTTTAATCTCAGGACTAATGCTGCATAATTGATGGTGTGTGATATTTAGTTAAGAGTTAATTGTGCAGGATAAATAAGTTGTTTGTTATTATTAAATTTATCATCAGAGTTTATTGTTATTAAATCGTCGATGTATCGAAATGTGCTGCTCAATGATTTACAAGTCGATACATTTTTTGGGTATTTTTCTCCATAAATTCAAACTCTGATTTGTACAGGAACAAATTGGCCAAATAAGGACCGGGATCAGCGCCCATAGAAATACCGATAGTTTGAAGAACAACGATTGTAACTAGACTAAAATAGCTGTTGACAACTAAAAGTCTAACCATTTTACCAAATGATCGTTAATAAACTTTTGTTACACATAGTTCTAGAAATTTAATATTTGTATCCTATTTTCATTAAAGTGCAAATAAATTCTGATCCATATCAACGATTCAGATAGATCAATTTTACAGGAAAGCTATCAAAAAGGAACTATACAACCAGAAGTCTGATACAGAGTTCGATCATGAGCACTTGTATATGAATATCCTGCATAAGCGATGTCCCTAAATCAACGACTATTGTGCCATACAAGAGGTGTTTTCTTATCGTCTACCCACATTTGCATTTGTACCGTACATAGAACTGAAACTCTATGTAAATAATTTACAAGCATCATAGACTATACCCTGAATATTTCAAGTCAAT